CAATGATTGCTGTTTATAAAGGAGTAGAGAAGAATAGAATAAAGCAATTTTTTTAATATAATGAAAATAAATAGAATAAGCCACGTCAGATATTTAATATTCGGACAACTTAATCCTCACCGTCTATCTGGAGATAGACCAGCTGGCGACGAGACCGACGTCTTCTCCAAACATATTCATTCACACACAAATTAAAATTAAATTAATTATGTTATTTACTTCAGCCGTTTCGGTTTGGTTTTCAATTTGACTAATTTAGCTAATTAGAAATCGCCACGTCGTAAATGACGCCATTTCCCAACCAATTTTATTGTTCAACTAAGCACGAAACAACAAATAAGTACTCCTCTATAGCTAATCACGGCATTGATTTTGAGTTTAATCTTTAAGGCAGATTTCGATTTTTTTGGGGTTAGTTTGCAGTTTTGAAATTGTCTTGAGTGTTTATAAAAATTACTATAAATAAATGAGGTTAACATTTGTCATACGAGGGAGTTTGTTCTTTCGTGTCTTAAAATTTTGTTTTAATGAAAATTTAACCTCATTAAAACAAAATTTTATTCATAAATCAATATATCTAAAATTTGGTTTCAGATATCAAAATATTATGGACGGAAGATTCCAAACTTCCACGTTTATCAGGAAAAAAAAAAAAATGACATACGACCAATCGATCAAATCATTAATTAATAATTAGCTACGTCTTTATCGTGGTAAAATTTTAATATCATCTTTATGTGCCAATGCTACAATGCGGTGTTTTTACCAGTAACCAATTACTGATTAGATAAAATAATTGAAACTTTTTTATCAACTAGATTAAGAAACCATAACTTCTCTTTTTTAAGTTTTGTTGTTGGCAAGAAACCATAATTTTATCATATGAATTCAAAATAGAAACTTAAAATTCAAAATATATGCCATTAGTTAATTCTTATGAAACAGAGTTACTGGTTAATTAAAGGGTCAAAATTCAAATATTATACATATTTATACAAAAGTTCAATAACATTTAATTTCTTTTTTTTTTTTGATAAAGGGCTTTCAATTTAAATGTAACTATTACAAATATATGATGATGAGATCATATAGTTTTAGAAAGTTTCTTATGGCAAATCATAAAAATTTAAATGCAAATAACATTTAATTTCGAGAGAAGTCTTTGGTCAAGTGGTTAAGTGGCCATCTCTACAATTTTTCATCGGAGTTCAATTTCATATGTCCATTTGAAAAGGTCTCGTGTAATTATCTCTTAAATAGTTTAATACCTCTTAAAAATGTTTGATAATGTATTAAACCAATCCTCCCTAAATACATTCAATTTTCAAATAGAAGTGTTACAAAACAAATAGTTAGTTGGCACTCTAAATGTTGTGAGTGTATATATGCTTTTTTTTTTTTTGGGTGAAAAGTGAGTGTATATATGCTTATAAATCCTAAAATGTTATTTTCAGGAGTGATGCTTGCGAAAACAAAATAATACTACTCTTTTTTTATGCAAAATTAATAAGATACATATAATGGCCACGTATATAATTAATTTTTTACTTGAATGATTGCGTGGAATAATTAAACGAAAGGATATGCCTTGTTGGCGATTCCTTATGGATCCGATATAAACCTAATGGCCAATGAAGAAAGAGCAAGTTGCACTAATTATTATTATTATTTTTGGGTTGTGAAAGTTGCAATAATTTTTAAATATTTTTTCTTGTTATTTTTATTGTTTCTTTTATATTTGGTACAATAAACAATAGATCGACGTTGACAAAGGAAAAACAACAGATCGACGAATATTTTGTCAAGCAACTGCAAGATAGAAATAGCCAAATGTATATATAGGACAACAATTTTTTTTATTTATTCTTATAAAGCATACTAATCATAGTTTCTCACAAAACTGATCAATCATATAATATTTGCATAAGATTACCAAATGAAGATTAGTGATATTATATATATTTAAAAAAAAATAATATTTCATGCTAGCTAGAGTTCACACAAAGAAAAGTAACAAAAAAAAGAGAAATAAAACAATATAAACTTTTATCATCGAGAACAACGAATATAAAATAATAGTAAGGAGAATTTGTTCAGTTTTTATTGGTTGAGTATAAGTTGTTTGGTTTCGCCAGGCTAATTAAAAGCCAAAATCTTCCAAATAAGAAAGAAACTTGTAATCGTATAGAATACCATCTCTAATTAAATCCACCATCGTAATTCATGTGAATAAAACGTGGACAATTAATGGTTTACGAAAATGTATTATATAGATTGTATTTATTAGTGTCTTATCAATATCGATCATCGTTAATTCTTTGCGTCCAGGGCTAGTATATTCCAGAAGCATGTCGTAAAATATATGAACTGTAAGATCTTGCACGTTAACTAGATCGAGTTCTAATCCTGTGTACAAAGCATACAAATATATATATAAACAAAATGTCAATTATGAAGCCGTCATGATAGAAAAAGTGTTCACATGATCGGATGGGAAATCTTCAAAGTGTGTTTCACGTGGATGATAGATACACATTACCTATAGAGAGCCAGGTTCGTCGATGTGTTCTTGATTTTTTCAAAATTGGCCTTTCAACATTTTGTATTATATATATTTGTATCAACACAAAACATTTTGAAGTAATATATACTTATATGTGGTGTCATTTATAACG